TGGATAAATAATTCCTACATCTAACAGACGGATGACTTCCTCCCTGACTACCTCCTGCATATTAGGATTCAGTCTCCTTTGTGGCTGCACTACCGGTTTAGCATTATCTTCCATCAAAATTTTATGAGTGCAGAAAACGGGACTGATTCCTTTCATGTCAGAAAGTTTCCGGGCTAGAGCTTCCCTTTGTTCACAAAGTAAGTCAAGACATGCAGATTTTTGGGATGGCTCAAGCCCGGATGCAAGAATAACAGGGAGGTCAGAACTATCATCTAGAAACGCATACTCAAGGTGGGAGGGAAGAGGCTTTAGATTTAATGGAGAAGGAGTAACAATAGAAGAATCAGTCTGACAGTCTTCCTTCTCCACCTTATCTAAGTCATCTTCCTTCCCCTTCACATCATTAGCATCACTTGAGTCCTCCTCCCCATCAAGCATAAGACAATCAAAACTGGGGAGGAGCTCAAGATCCTCTGCTGACAAACTGTCATCCAAAAGAAGATCAAAGAAGGCTTCATCAGAAAGCATGTTAGGAATGCAATCCTCCACCAAAGAATCAACCACATCCATGTAAAAACACTCACCACTATCTTGACAGGGCCTCTTCATTATTTTGGACATGTCAAAGGTGGCAGACTCATCCCCAACGCGGAGGACAAGCTTACCGTCTCCAACATCAATAAGTGCACGGGCAGTTGCCAAGAATGGTCTGCCCAAAATCAATGGTACCTCCCGATCCTGATCCATGTCCAAAATAACAAAGTCTACTGGAAAAATAAATTTGTCCACTTTAACCAACACGTCTTCAATAATCCCTTGTGGATATTTGACTGAACGATCAGCCAACTGAATGCACATACGTGTAGGTTTAAGTGGACCGAGTGCAAGCTTTTCATATAAAGCAAGAGGCATCAGATTAATGCTTGCACCCAAATCAGCCAGGGCCCTATCAAAAGTAAGATCTCCTATAAAGCAGGGAATAGTAAAAGAACCTGGATCCTTAAGCTTCTTCGGCAGATCTGTCCGTATCACCGCTGAGCACTCCTCATTAAGCGTCACAGTAGACGCTTCTTCCAGCCTCCTCTTGTTCGTGAGCAAATCCTTCATAAATTTCGCGTACTTCGGCATCTGAGCTAGTGCATCCACGAATGGTAAGTTAATCTGCACTTGTTTCATGAGATGCAGAAACTTACCAAACTGGTCACTATCGTTCTTCCTAGTCAATCGCGCCGGATAGGGGAGAGGTGGGGTGTAATTCTTGACCGGAACGGACTGTTTTGGTGCAGCCGCCACCTCTCTTCCCTCATCTTTCTCCTTCTCTTCCTCCCGGACAGCCGGTTCAACTTGAACTTCATCGGGCTTCTTTGTTATGGCAGCAGGTTCTAGCTCTTTTCCGCTCCTCAAGGTCACAGCCTGAACATGTTCTCTGGGATTTGGTTCGGTATTACTAGGGAGGGATCCCTGAGGCCTCTCAGATAAAGCCTTTGAGATCTGCCCCATGTGAGTCTCCATGCTCTGCATCCTTGCCTCAAACATTTGCATCCTTGAGTCGGCTTTCAGCTGATTTTGTGCTAATTTGTTGAGCACTTCTTCTAAGCTAGAAAATTTTTGCTCAGTCTCCTTTCTAAAGCTTCCTTGCGCCGGCTGAGGAGCTTGTTGCTGGCCTTGAGGTATCTGGGGCTGATTATAGTTTCTAGACTGCTGCTGATTTCCCTGCCCGTACTGCCCTTGCTGCTGCTGTCCGTAGGGCTGATTATAGTAACCCTGTCGTTGATAATACATCGCATCCACTTGCTCTACTCCAGGGGCTGCCGAGTGTGCCATCATTGTGCATTCATGTGGCGAATGGAGTCCCCCACACATAGAACAAGAGGGACTAATAGGAACGGGGGCTACCATATTCACACTGGGCACCGAGAGAGCAAGTTCCGTCTTCTTTTGATTGTCTTCCACTGTAGTAGCAAGCTTCTGAATCAAACTGGTCAAAGCATCTACCCTTGCAGAAAGGGCAGAATTCTCACTGATCTCGTACAATCCCGGGGCCTTCTGGTGAGGTGTGTCCCGAGAACTGTACCATGAAGCATTATTGGTCACAATCTTCTCCACTAATTCTTCCGCAACCTCAGATGGCAACTGAGGAAAAGCTCCACCTCCCGAAGCATCAAGCATCATCTTTCCTTCATTGTTTAGTCCACTATAAAAACAAGATAGAACCTCGCAATCAGTCATCTTGCCTTGAGGGCAAGCTCTTCTCAGCACCTTGAATCTCTTCCACGCCTCAGCTAGTGTCTCCAAAGAACCTTGCTTAAATTCCTGTAGCTGCTTCTTCAACTTTATGGCCTTTGATGTTGGGAAGTATTCTTTGATGAAGGCCTTGTGCAGCTGATCCCAAGTCTGAATGTGGTGATGTGGATTGCTATCCAACCACCTCTGCGCGTCATCCCTCAAAGAGAAAGGGAATAGTAGCATCCGTACCTGATCGTCATCTAGCCCAGGAATCTTGAAAGTCTGGCACATCCTCAGAAATTTGGTAATGTGTGCCACTGGATCTTCCGTAGGGCTCCCTCCAAACTGATTATTTAGGACCATATTGATCACCGCCGGCTTGATCTCGTAACGGGGTGCAGTAATCCCCGGTACCTGAATGCTGTCATACTCTGTGATCTCGGGGGCTAGGAAGTCTGCAATGCTCTCTCCTTGATAGAGTGGATTGTCATGTGGAACATAATTGTGGTAAGGAGGAGCTTGATATCTCGGCTGATGAACTGGTTGGGGTCGAATGGGTTGTGGACGGATGATATTTGGCTGAGATTGGGTTTGATGGAATTGATGATATTGGGGTTGGAAAGGCTGATTTTGTGGCTGAGTAGGGGGTGGATTTTGTGTGACTGGCGGTTGGTTCTGTCTGGGCTGAAAGACTGGAGTGGTTTGCCCTAGACCTTGCATCCCAAAGGTTTGGTTTTGAAAAGTGGTTTCGGGAGCAATAGAAGTATTTTGGAAGAGCTGATAGAGTGGTGGAAGATTTAGTTGTGGAGTGGGCTGATTTTGGGGGAAGAATGGGGTACGAAGATTTTGATACCCCGGATAAGCTCTAGGTGAATTTTCTTGTGAAGACTGGGGAGAGGTATTAATATAAAAATCCAGATTACCAGAAGTGGTTTGGACCTCAGACGTCCCAGCTGTCCCAGATGCGGATGGTTGATCCATGGTTGCTTTCTGTTCTCTAAAGGCCTTGCGGTTCTGCTTAGCTAGCTTCTCGATCTCAGGATTAAGAGGGACTAGTGATTCTCCCTTCTTAGAGCGTGTATGCATAAACAGATCTGACCTGCAAGGTTAGTAGACAAAAATCCTACGAAAAACTAAAAACAAGTCGCTAAAATTAATTAACCCTTAAATCCGACACCGTCCCCGGCAACGGCGCCAAAAATTGATGTGTGTTTTCTCGCACTTAAAAAGATTGTAGAATAGTGGTTGAAAGTACGAGTATCGTCTCCACAGGGACGGACAAAAGGGAATTAAAGATTAACTAAATTCAGCGATTAAAAAGAAATAAAATAAATAAATGCAAGTGTGCGAGATTTGATTGGTGAATTAAAATTAAACTAATGCGAATTGAACGATTAAAATAAAAGTGGTTTCTTCTCAATTAACGACGAAGGGAATAGGAATTGATTCCGGGGTAACCAGATTTCTGGCAGATCAGGCCTAATTACATGAATTTAATTTAATTGAGCCTAGCTAATCATTACTAAGTTCTTACCGCTCTCGCGGCGTAGAGTACAATAATTTAGGGGACCAGGCTGATCTCTCATGCGACAGGATCCTAAGTTATTGCCAAGACGAGCGAGCTTACGGCCCCTTAATCGCTACTAATCTCTTAGCGAACGATTAAGTGTGTGTGAATGTGTCCTAGAACAAATTAGATCTCTCTTAATTCATTCTACATACAATTGTAATTCTAGCTGCAGTCTAGGTTACAAGAGATATCAATTAAATTATTCAAACACAAATTAAACGGCATTCATGCAATTAAACCGACAAGAATCTAGCCATCAATCATGATTAACCCCTTCATCAATCCCAAATCCCTAATTAAACTACTCACAATTCATAATTGAAGAATCAACAGAATTGGGATGAATAGAAATAATTGTCATTAATTAAAAAGATGAACTTACAAATAATCCCAGGGTCTTGGAAGAAAATAGCGTAAAAACGGTGTTAAATTCGTCCCTAGGCCTCTCCGTAATGTTCGTAACCCCCAAAAAGGGTTAGGGAGGCCTTATTTATAGAAAAAGAGGTGAAAAAAACGAATTTGGGCCGAAATAGGAAACTTCCGCGCGTGTCACGGGGCTACGCACGATCGTGCGTCCCTGCCTACGCACGATCGTGCGTAGCAGGCAGAAGCTTCAACGCGAATTCAAAATGGACGCACGATCGTGCGTCCCAGACGCACGACCGTGCGTCTGACTTTTTCGCCCCGTTTTCTCGTTTTCTTGCTCCAAATGTGTCCAGACTCATCCGAGGTCGATCCCAATGCTCTTCCTTCTTCAAAATTTCGCCGTGAATCACCTGGTGACCTCCAAATCTCTCAATTCTTCCTTGAATGCTCTCTATCTCCTCCCGATTGTCTCTTTAACGCCGATTGCCGGACTCTAACTTCTTCAAATCAACTCCAAATGCAACGAAACTTGATCCAACGCCTGCTAAACACAACTTGAGCCAAAATTGAGACTTGCAACGCCTTAAATCCAAGAAAATCATCAAAATCCGACCTGGACACGCATCAAATGCGTGTCTAAATACGGACTTATCATATATCCTAAAATAAATCTTACATTTTTTTAGAATAAATATATGCTCAAGCTATTTCACTTTGCTATAATCAAATAAGGAGTATCACTTATGATATTTTAATGATGTCAAATTAAAAGAACAAATAAATTGAAGGAGAAGTACTTGAATTCATTCTATAATTAGATAACTAATGAATGATTTACCTTGAGCGAGGTTATCATAGAGCTGGCCATCCCTAGTAATTGCCATCATGATTTGAGGGATTCCAAGGGGGAGCTCATCGCCCCGATCCACCTGCCAAAAGTGGATGGTCTTACCGTACGTTTTGCACACCTTCTCCATGTCCTTCCGCTCGATCGGCCCGGGCACCCCCGGCATGAACAGCACCCCGCTCTTCACCTCGAACTCGTGCGAATGCCACAGCTTCTTCTCCTCGTCCGGCAGCGTCATGAACAGCGCCTCCGACACCATGTACTCTACCCCGATCAGCCTCCCGTCCGCGTCCGGCCGGTCGTACAGCAGGCACTGCCGGAACTCCTCGTTTAGGTGCGCGCAGTAGTGGTGCGTCTCCACTTGCCGCGTCATGTCGTCTCCATAGTAGTGAAACCTGATCCAATAAAATCAAATGTGCATATGCTATTGAGAGCGATTTAATTCACAAAATCTTTAGTATAACAATTTTTATGAACCGTTCTTCGTGTACGTTTGAGCGTGTAAATGTGTCAATCTACAGGCTCAGATTGTCGGTATACAATGTGCAATAATTTGAGTATGAAACTTTGCATTATTTAGAGGAATTCACTTTGTAAACATGTAAAATTGGTGTAAAAAACATGTAAATAATCACTTGTACAAGATTGAGAACATTTCTATTTTAATACTCCCTCCGTCCCGAAAACAACTTCCCACTTAGTCAAATTTACAGAAAGTCCAACCGTGAAGTTGTTTTCGGGACGGAGGGAGTACTATATACGTATAGTAGTAGTATCTAATTTATATGTTAAGACTATGATTGTTTAATGTAATTACTGAATGTATATAAATCAAGAAAGAGAATACGACTTTCACCATCGATCAATCTATAACAACATTAAATTTCTCAAATTGCAAATTATTAAATTAATTTGATTCTAGGAAGTACATATATGGAGATAGTTTAAAACTTCAAATCATATAATTAAAAAATCTTTATGGTGGAAATAGGGAAGGGATGAAAAATGGATGGAGGGAAGGCTGACGCGCATAAGTGGTGGTGGATGTTGTTGACGGGGCCGAAGCTCTGGACGGCGGCGGTGGCTGTTTCGAGGATGGCGGTGCCGGTGTGGGTTGCTTCTCCGGGAACTTCCGGGTGCGTCGACACGTTCACGCCTTCCATTTTAATTCGTTGTTTTTGGATCGAAATATGAAAGAAGTGTACAACATTTAATTTATACTTTCGTACATACAAGACACTCCTCTATCTCACAAGGAGACACGTGTCGAGGTAGAGATCAACACCTGGCAAGTAGTGCTGTAGCACACTAATCTCACCGAAGTCACCATGTGCCAAGTACTACTATATGCTACTTTGACGTATACTTTGTCACGGTGCGTCAAAATAAATTTCAATATTAGCACTAATATGTAGTATAACGTAGTAGAGTTCGTATCCACAGGGAAGGAATAATTTATCTTTTTAACGAAAGGAGTAAATAAAGGGGGGTTTTGGGTTGAATGATTTAATTAAATTAAACACGAAGATGAACGAGTTATATAGGTTAATTCAAAGATAAAAGGGACTTGGCATTGCTACTTTCCACTTGTTGATATATTTTAGTCGATCATTGTTATATCTATAACTTATCTCCTCTCGAATACTCAATCGAGGAGTATATCCAATTCATCGAGGATAGTTATTAACAACGACCGTTCATTAATAACCCTTACTATTAGTCAAGTATAGAACAACGCCATATACCGACTTGATAGTAGCATTTAATCTTTTAACTCCTTGATGAAATCAATTGAGATTGATAACCTTAACACAACGGTTTCGGTATAACCAACAAAATTAATCCCTCTTAAGTTTATTAACCACGACCGTGCATTAATAAACCGAAGTTACTTACTTGTGAAACTATCAACGATTAACCATCGGTTCATTGATCATTTCTAGTAATAATTAATATATGAAACAAAACTAGTTGATCCTTTAAGTAATGTTCAAAATATTAATATGAAATATGAATAGGAATTAATTAATACTCAAGGAAGAATATTAAAGGGAATGAATCCTACTATAGTTAAATATCAAGATGTTAACTAATTGTCATCTTAGTAACACTCCCCGATATTAACATAGAGGAAGGAATAGCTATTACTAAAACCAATGTCAAGATGTTAACTAATTGTCATCTTAGTAACACTCCCCGATATTAACATAGAGGAAGGAATAGCTATTACTAAGACCAATGTCAAGATGTTAACTAATTGTCATCTTAGCAACACTCCCCAACATTGATATAGAAATAGTATTTAAAGGAAGAATTAATATTCAAGGAAAAGAAGTTAAGAAAATAACTCACAACTTTAATAATCAACAAGCTTCAAGAGCAATACCAAGAAATGGAAGTTTAGCTCCTCATTTGGAGACTAAACATGCTAAAAGAAATATAGAGAAATTCTATTCTAAACTGAGCTTCAGAGTACAAAGGAATTGGTCATCTATTGTGAAGGAAAGAGGGTGTATTTATAGGCTTTTGGGATGGGACTCGAGTACTCGATCGAGTATACACATGGTACCCGATCGAGTATGTGTGAAATGCCAGATTCGAGGTATACTCGATCGATTTTGGTTTAAAAATCAAAGGTGTACTCGATCGAGTATATATTCATACTCGGTCGAGTATGTGTAGAAAGTGATATTCGAGCCATACTCGACCGATTTCGGGTTTAAACTCAAAGGCATACTCGATCGGGTATGTCGGTCTACTCGATCGAGTATAGACACTGAATCGTGGTCAAAATCTTCCCGGCATGTTCCTTTGTCTTCGGATCCGATCTGATTTGAAGTTTCAACCTTATACCCGATCGAGTATAGGTAATACTCGACCGAGTATAGGCAAAAATCAGGATTTTCCCTTTTTGTCTTGTGATTTGCACCTTCTTTCCACTTTTGGGGTTCACCAACCATCCTTTGAGTGATAGTAGACCTGTTTGAGCTCAGAATAATCCTAATCTAAACAATTTACAAGGATTTAACAAACTAAACTATTACACCAAAAGTGTGTAATTTCCGAAATATTAAACAACCAAAACTAGCTAAAAACATAAACATACACACAAAAATTACAAGTGTATCACTACTCCTTAAATAAATAAATAAATGAACTTTTACATTATTCACATGTTCTATTTTGATTATTTTCATTTATTAATGTAATAATATTATTTTATGAAAAAAAATTGTTAAACTTGTCTCATTGTAAATTTTCATAATCTAATTTTTTTTAATTTTTTTACTAATACAAATCATTTATATTAATGGTCAAAGTTGTGTCTCGCCAAATGTGAAATGTTAACCGTTGCATTTATTTAAGAACGGAGGAAGTACTTCGTATGAACGAGGCTCAAATTTAACACTGATCATATCAAAATACTCATCTCTCCCTAACTTTGCAAACTTTTCATTTTCAGATGTCCCACTAACATTGGCATTTTCATTTGTACAAAACTCAACCACACAGTTTTTATTTTATTATTCCCCGTGCTGGTCAAACTTGGTAAAGTTATTAGGGATGGAGGGAGTATCATATTGGAAATTACTACGTATTAAGGTTTCAAATGAAATAAATTGAACATTATGATTCCATATGTATATCATATTGGACACTAAAATTTCATAATTCATAGTTTTTGGAAACTTCTTATGATTCTCTATTTCTTTAATAAAAATCATTAGTCTTTCAGTCCAAGTAAAAACATCCTTAGGGATCACGGCTTAATTATACCGGCACTTCTTTCCACTTGATTACGAACATATTTAGTTATAATTCTCATACTTATTATATAAGTTCCCTTTACACAAAAATATATTTATAACTTTAAAATGGATATATATAGGGGTTGGATGGGAGTTGAGCGGAGGCAGATGTCCGCCTGCCGCCTGTCCCCCCACCCTGGATATGCCCCTGCCTCCAGCGGCCACTGCTATATCCCCATCCCATCGTCGCCGAGTAGCCGCAGTCGTGGGGCCATGCCGTACCGCCACCTGCACCTCCTCCCCGCCGTCCATCGTCTCTTTCACTGTGGACACACTTCCTTGTTTTAGATTTGATTTGAGTATTTTGGTATCCATACATATTGGGATTTGAGAGTAGAAGGGCTGGGACACTTGAAAGGAGTCGGTAAAGAGAGTACACAAAGAGTTGAAGGGAGTAGGGGTAAAGTGGAACTGGCGGAAAAATATAGTCCTATTTAAGTATTAAAATCATGGAGGTCCTATTTAAGTATGTGGACATTTTTAGTCCTATCCCCAACCATTTTCTCTATTAAAAAGAAAACCAAACCATCATGCACTAAGAAATACAAAAATTCCTTTTGTACACCTTCTTATACACATCAGTACACTCCATTGTCTGTGAGAATTTTTTTGTCCGTGAATGCCAGTTCACAGACAAAACCTGACTTGTTTTGTCTGTAGACTGGCATTCACAGACAAAAAAAACTCTCACTGATAATGGGGTATACTGATGTGTATAAGAAGGTGTACACCAATAATTTCCCTAAGAAATAACCAACATTAAGATCACAAAGATACAAATTGAAAGTAAAACGATCGAAAAGATGTGAGAAGACCACCACCACCACCTGACCACGTACAACGATTTGAAGCTTAAAGTACCGGCCACTTATTAAGTTATTGGGAAAAGGTGCAAATAGGCCCATGTACTAATAAAAAAGGTCAAATAAACCCTTATTTAGGAGGCTCTGTCCAGCCGTCGTCATTTGGGGTGGTTCCCGATGGAATTTTTTGACTAAATTTTTTGAGCATTTTATTCATTAAGTCTAGTTTACTCATACCAAATTTCAGCTAAAACTTCAATCCGGAAGGCATTCAAATGAATTCTTAAAGATAATTGCGCTTCTAACTGCGCAGTTATTTTCAAGAATTCATTTGAATGCCTTCCCGATTGAAGTTTTAGCTGACATTTGGTATGAATAAACTAGACTTGATGAATAAGATGCTCAAAAAATTTCATCAAAAAATTCCACCGTGAACCACCCCAAATGGCGACAGCCGGACAGAGCCTCCTAAATAAGGGCTTATTTGACCTTTTTTTGTTAGTACATCACGCATTCCCTTCATTTTTCTTTTCATTCTTTACGCCGGCACCGTTCATCGAGATGAAATACTCCTCCGTAACATTCATATCTTCCCACTTTCCTTTTTTGGACGTAACATTTATATCTTCCCATTTCTAAATCTTCCCATCATACCCTCAATAATTTAAAAAATAATACACTACCACACCTACTTTTTTGGATTTATCTTTCATTCCATCACATTATTTCACCATCTTCCCATCATACCCTCAATAATTCATGCCCCATTTCACTATTCTTAATCTCACCCATTTTGGAAGTGGGAAGATATATGTGATACGGAGGGAGTATATTGCAACAGCCAAAAGGCCGAGAGCCAACGCAACTCCAAGGTACGCACCCACCTGAGCTGGTGTAGATAAAGCTGCAGAGGCGTGACCAAAGCAAAGACACAAACTAATGACAGGGTCGGTCTTGAGAAAAGTGAGGCCTTGTGCAATAACAAAATTTGGGTTTTCTTTTTTGACATAAATATTGATCGACAAACAGATGTTCTTAAAACATAGTTACAACAATTATAACTTTATTAAATATAAATAGCCGAATTAACTCATCAATTAATTACATTTAATTCTAAATAACAACCAAATTTGTTAAATTTCATTATTTCATCAATTGATCATATACATTATTACATTAGTAGATCAGAGTAGTAGTACCATTACTAAAAAAATTATTTTGAACCCTCCAAATTTTTGGGCCTTGTGCGGTCGCACACCCTAAACTCCCTTTGGGCCTGCCCTGACTAATGACAAAGTAAAATGTGGTAATCACACGTTTCCCCATTTTGCTAGCTCCAATTCATTCGATCAATTACATATTCACGAAATCTATCAAAATGGAGCTTAATTTGTAATTAAGGCCGGACCACCACCATTTATAGACATAGCTCGGTAGAAGACGATGGAGCTTAAGGAGTGATTCACAGAAAAAAAACACTTCACAAACATAGGTGGGTATTAAAGTTGGTATAAGAGTATGTACAAAAATCATTTTTGTTCTTTATAACTAATGTCTTACTTATACA